CAACTGCATCTCGTCGCCGGGCCAACATGTCGCCGCGTCAGCTCTCACCTCGACTGGTCTGCAGATTGCACAAAGTCGTCTTTGTACCAATGCCTCGTTCGCCTGCACTCCTCTCCTTCCCACCGACGTGTTCGGCAGTCGCAATCAGCCGGGTTAGACGGAAACGCTGCCTACTCACTCTTATGAGTAGTATGTACTCGCTTTATGCACAGGTTTGAGCTAATTTCTATTTGCGTCGCTTGCAAGTCTTCTCTCGGTCACATCGGACAGGCATCCGCTTTACAAGACGACTCGAAAGCCGTTTTCTTTCTCCAATTTATTTATGCATCAGTAGCAGAGATTTTGACGATTTTCATTCTTTGACTCATACTACTATCCCGTGACCGCAGTAGTCCCTTTAAATACGTTACACAAAGTCCTGTGCCCTCTTTTTCTTTGTTTTTTTTAATACAAAGCCCCGACGTCGTTTGTATATAGTATCTACCATATAAGACTCTAATAGTGTACAGTCCTAAATATTATTTGAAATTGAAACATTTGTCTAGTCATCTTTTTTGTGTTAGAATTGATTGATGCCCTGCTGATTGAGCATCTTTTTTTTAATTTTATTTCAAACTACTTTCTACTGATAATGGCATACATTTCATTTCGTCTTAGGAGGCGGGTGAAAGGTAGGGTGGCCTCTTCGGACACCGAAGGAGGGTTGTCTTGGGCTTGTGACTGTTGAATTATGCGAAGAAGAACTCGGCTCACCATCCGTCATGTGACGGTGATCCGAAGTCTTCTTCGCACAATTCGACAGACAAACGTCCAAGGCAACAACCCTCTTTCGGTGTCCGGTGAGGCCAATCTACGAATTCCTTCCAGCCGCCTTCTCAAACCAAATGAAAGGTATGCTAGAATCTCCTCTAATCCCTCTAATCTACTAAGGGATTGTTCAAGTCCCATTTTCTCTTCATACTTTGTACTGAGACTGCAGAGATTATATGCATTCGTGTGCACTTGTACATAATCGAATTCCTCATCATTTGTACATAAACTTAAGCATACTTCGACATGCTGTATACATTTTTAAATGGCGACTTTTTGGAATTTTCTTGATTCGCATAATTTTACTCATCGGCCTGTTGAGGGTCGTCTCCACAGCTTGGAATTGAGTTGACGAATATTTCAACCAACTTTATTCTCAAACTGCATGTGTTCGAATGCCTTATGTGTTGTTCTCGACTCTAAACTCAAGTCTCGTTTGAGCCACAAGGTCGAAGCCTCATCCTGTGTCTGTATGTGTCGACCTCTCTCTCTCTCTTTATCTGTGTGTGTGTGTGTGCGTGTGTGTTGGTGCGGATTCCACTGGCCGGCTGTCTAATCAGAAATCGGTCGAGGTCTCTTGAGGAAGTATGAAGAGTCGTCAGGTTCTTGTCTCTACTCCGCTACAGGCCATCCTGTTTCGACTTGATTTTCGCTGAATTTGGAGCAAAATCGTCTTTCAATAAACCGCACTAATTAGAAAAATTGCCAATTAAAAACGTCCTGTTGGACATGGCTGTAGGTGTGTCGTGCTATTCGACCTACGCGAATCGTCCAATGACGGACATTATTTTGCTCTCGATCCGCCTGACCTGAGTTCGAGTTGGCTGCGCTGGCAGATCGGAGGGTCAGTTGACTCTGAGACAGGATAGAATAAAGTCCGGTACCGGTTTCAAGGCTTATTGGACAATTTCAATTGTCAGATGCCAGTGACGACATGACGAGAGGTCGTGTAAAACGAGCCGGTTGAAATGGAAATCTTGAGATTTAATGTCGTTTAGCCACACGGTAACACGGGTCAGGTCGTGGGGGTCGCGTTCCACTGTCAGGTCATGTGGAGGAGGCCAACTATGACGGCCAGAAAGAGGATGGTACACAAAGAGATACATGCATCGCTGAATCGAGGTCGATTTCAAGCTGTGGCTGAGTATGCAGTCTTGCGAGAACCAGTAATCAGCGAAATGGGTTACTGTGGGCCACCGTGAACACCAGAATTGACATGATTGGGGAGGGAGGGTATGCCAAAAGAAGCTGCGTCTGGACGAGACAGAATTTGAATAAGTTGGGTTAAATGTGGAGAGCTTAATCCCATTTGAAGGGAAAGTGTTTGCTGAAGGGATTCAAGGGCCAATCTCACCAGAAGGCGTCAGCGGATTCCATTTTGCAACCGTCTTTTAGCTTTATTAAAAGCTGACTGACGCTGTACATGGTACATTAACCCGCAATTTAGGTGAAAACGTGTTAAGTAGCAGGCTCTCATTCTTAAAACTAGTTCAGGCTGACAAGTCATGAAAACCCACTATAAACATCTGCACATTTTCATACAAATGCACATACCTTCATATATACATATATGCATACCTACATAGATACATGCATGCATTCATACATATATACACACATACGCACATGCATAATTGCATTAATGTATGCATGCATACAAACATGCACAGACACAATTAGCACATCTTGTTTTATATATTCATTAATGTGTATCAATTATCATATAAAACAATGGGAAAAAGCCAAAGGGAATATTGAAAGTGACAAAAAGAGGGAGCAAAGATGTGATGTAATAAACAGACACAAACGTAGTGCTAGCGATTATGAACTTGGCACAGTTTGGAGTGCATGCGGCAAGGGTGCGGAGTGTATGCTGAAACATGCAGACAAAATATAGAACAAAGGTGTGGCTTGAAAGCCACTTTAAGGGTCAGAAGTGGTACAGTGACAGAGCTGTGTGAGAATGTAAAAGTCGTCCTTTCGTCAGCAAACACGACATCTTTCTTGCAGCCCATGGATCAACGAATACTCACATTCAAAACACAACTTATGCACATGCGATTATCACACAAGCGGTGATGGTGTTGCTTAGACTCTATCGTATTATAGAAATTGTTTGACCTTATTGTCGCAACTTGGTATGTCAACTTATATACAAGGAAAGGAGAGTGCCACCAAACAAAAGGCCACACCATCTTGGTCTTCACACCTTTTACCGTAATTATTTACTTGTGATAAACTTTTGAGTGTTATTGCTTTTTGATTAGCAATTGATGTATTATATTAAATTAAGAAAGGGACAAAAAATTTGGCTATTTTAAGAGTTTCATTAAACAATCATACGGCTTTGTGTGTTACAACTCCAATCGAGTAGCATGATTTTTATTAGTACGACATTTTCGCGAGGGCAATTATTTATATATATATATATATATATACGCTTATAATAATGAATCGAGTCATTTTTTTGAGGTTTAGATTGATTTTGTTAGTTCATGTAATAGGTCAATCTGTACAAACAGTGATTATGCTGAACAGACTGAAAAAGCGGTACCGTTTTATGAGTTCTATCAGGCCTTATCGCAGGAATGGCAACAATCAGATGACTTTGTATGATATAATCACTTTGAATAGTATGAAAACCAATTTTATGGCCAGCCGAGATGAGAAAACCTTTTTTGAGAGCCAGGCTTTTTGTGATCAAATGGAAGCATAAACTAGCACTCCCTTTATCATCTTAAACGAAATAGGTTTAATACACTTCATATAGAAGTATTTTTTCTTTGTAAGTAGGTTCTCGAGACTACCTTTCAAACAATACTATGCGTAAATCTCACGTAAGTAAATATACACATAAATAAAAATTCACTTCATCGACGCTTCCATCTTTCTTAAAATTCACATCTGCCTTATGATCAGACAGCACTTGTGGCTGTCTGGCGCGGTGCTTTACGCGTCGAGATTATAGGCTGTACTACAGCAACCTGGGTTCGAATCCCTCTTGGGCTGCTGAGGAGACCAGTTCATGCAAAGTCGAAACTGAAGTGCACTTCAGTCAGGATGAGAATCCTTTTTGAAGGGCAAGATTATGTGAAATTCACCTTAAACGAAAGCTCACATAACTTTTATATATTTTTTAAATCTATCCATCCCATTATCCCAATGGTCTATATCGGATTATCTTATAGCCATTATTTGACGATTAATGTCAGTTGAATATAAGGAAATATTCAACACATACTGATTTCATAAATAGATTCCTGTTCTGATAAGCAAAACTATTAAACTTTCTTGCTTCTAATTTGAATTTAACATTACAAAAAATTATCTCATCTACCCTTGTGTAGGTCAATAGTACACATACAGCACGTGGGAATAAGTCGATGAGTTTTCCTGACTCGTTATCTCAAAATATGAATGTATGCATGATAGTCCGATCTGATGATGTCCGTCAGAGGAAAGATGAAAGCCCAACACCATTTCATCGAAATAGAAAGT